CCTCCTGAATCCAGGGCTGGTGCTCTATCCATTGTGCCACCTAGCTGCCCCAATGTTTTTAATTTAAAAAAAAAAATTAAATTTTATTTTTTTGAGAGATATTATGGTTTAAGTCTTGCCTCTGACACAAACTATCTGACCTTAGGCAAACCATTTCACTTCTCAAGGTTGCAGAGCAGGCACCAAACTGCATTGGTGAAGGGAATTTCCAGACAGGGAGCTACTTATACCAATCAAATCACAAATCTTGTCTCCAAATTTTTATTTTTAATTTGATAATTTTTTTTTGCTTCAGGCATTTCCACATATATCCCTCATTCCAGTGAGTTTTCTCTTGTAACAAGGGAAGAATAATTATGTAAAACCAACTAATACATCAAGAATATATGGCATGTACACAGTATTCCATACCCATAATCCTCCTCCATTTCTAGGTATGAACTTGTTGAACGCTTTAAAAAAAATTACACCCAACAGCAAATCTGGTGTAATCAGAAAGCTCACTGTGAAAGCCTATTACTGGAACCTTTCAAATTCTGCAGAGAATTGAGGCCTATAAAGACCTTGGAGCCTAGCTCTCACCAGTATGACCTTGAGTAAAATCACTTACTTCTTTGTGTCCAAATCTTATCATCCATGAAGGAAGGGTTAGAAAGAGGTGATCCCTAAAGTCCATTCAAAATCTAAAAGCCTAAAACTCCATATATTTGGAAGACATAGAATTCATCTTAGCATAATCAAATCAGTCTTTCTTTAATGATTGTGAGAAGTCCAATTATATAACATCTCCGCTAAAACTGTAAGAGCTACAGTGATAGAAATCAAACTAACCAAGTTTGAAAGGTAGGAGAATCTTATTTTACAGTAAAACCAAGGAGAGCCTAGATTGTAATCAGGCCCTGTCAATGTTATCCCATAATACAGAGAGACATGAGTCACGTACATTCATGCTGCAGCATCTGGAGGTCTGCCCTGTTGCAGCAGTCAACCACATTAAGTGGGGGAAAAGTCAAGTTTGAAAGACCATAGAATATTAGAAGGGAGCTTATAGGTTCTCTGGGCCAATTGCCTTACTTTACAGGTGCAGAAACTGAGGCCCAGAGAGAAGTGACTTCCTCTAAATCACATAGTGATTAATTAGAGATAATTAGGTGATATAGAAGATAGAGTACCTGGCTTAGAGTCAGGAAGACCTGAGTTCAAATCTATCTTCAGACACTTTCTAGCTGTGTAACTATGGTCAAATAACTTAACCTCTGCCTCAGTTTCCTTCCCTGTAAAGTGGGGATAATAGCACCTACCTCACAGAAGTGTTGTGAGGATCAAATGAAATAATAATTATAAAGTGCTTGGCACACAGTGGGTGCTATATAAATGTTAGATATTAATATTATTATTAGCAGAATTGGAATTCAAACCTAGGTCATGTGACCTCAAAGCCAGTTCTCTTTAACCAGGTAAAAAGAAGTTCCGTAGGAAGGGGGGGAGACCACTATTCATCAAATTAGGAGTCCATACTAGGTTATCAAAGCTTCCTAAGGCAGAGATTGTTTTACTTCTCCAATTCAAACACATGACCCAAAAGACCCCAGACATACTGTTATTTCTGTTAGGAGTGCCACATATTTTATTTTATTTTGTAAAAGTCATCATCATTATCATCTTCACCAAACAAATCACACCCATCTCCAAGCACTTTCTGAAAAAAATTAATTAAGCTCAACTGCCTAGCCCAATGATTACATCCTTTTTCCATTTCTGTGGTTTGCCATTCAATAACAATTTTCAAACCCGCTTCTGGTAATTCCCGCAGAAAAGGTTCCTAATAGGCAGTGGCAAGCAGCTGCAGCCTGTGAGAGCCGCTTGCTGTCTCAGGGTTCATTTTTGGTTCAGGCGAGTTTGATTATTGCCTCTAACCTCTTGCATACTCTATCTGAAGAGTCCTACGTTTCCTGATCCTGGCTGGAAAGTGAAAATCAAAATGCATTATTCAGGAAATGGTGGTGGTTTCTGAGCTTCTCTTATTTTCTCTAAAACAATTTGCTGTCCCGAGAGGCTTTTTCCATGATCTACACCAGCCTGTGGTGCAGTCATCCAGAGAGTTATTGTCTCCCTAAGGCTCTGCTTTGGGTCAGGTTATAAAAGACGAAATGTTCATTTTCAGGGGCTAAAACCTGATGCCTTTACATATGGCCTTCTCAGTAGTCTCGCCAAGAGTTTTGTGGAAATTAGTAGCAAAAATGTGTCACTCAACGAAGGAGTTGTAATTTTGATTTATGGTTTCATTTGTGATTTCCCCCTTTGTTTTCATCAAAAAATTAAATTTCCAGGGAAAAGGCAGCTCAGGGTGCCAGCAAACCTCCAAGAAATGTAACAATCTGACATGTGACTTATTTGGGAAAAGGAATTCAATTCAACTCAATTCAACAAACATTTACTAAGCATCTGCTTTAGACAAGAAACTCTGCTAGACACGAGGGATCCAAATAATTAAACAAACAGTCATATTCCTCAAGAATTTTCATTCCACTGGCATATTCCAAGTGATCTGCAGGGTCACTCCCATAATCTCCATGACTCTCTTTCTGAGGGCTAGCTTGAGAGGAATAATGATGGTACTCTTGGATATCCACCATTGAGATTACACATAAACCCCCGAAAAACTTGGCTATGGCTCCTTAACAGACCCATTATAAAGCTCTCCTTTTTGCAAAGAAATTGAATCAGCATGCATTTACTGAAATTCCAAAGCCCTGTGGCAGGAGACATCTTGGGGCCTATGATGGGACAGAGAGAGACCTCGTGACACTTTGAGGTCACTGCTGGGGAGACTTCCAATGTGGAAGATAAGAGAAAGCACCCAAGCTAGAGAGGGCAGGAAGTCCACCATCTGCTTATTCCTATTTCAACTACTCATGTTAATTAATAATTAATACTATTCTAATTTTAACTAATTGTTAACTAGGTGCCACACCTCAGTTGTTTCTACTTGTTGAAGCAGAACAGGTGCTGCCAGCATGAAATTTCAGTTACTTAAGACAAAACTCTGGCCACCCTACCCCGGTTACAACTCCAGGCAGAATAAAGATAAAGGTCACAGTAGCTGAGGAAGTTGATGAAAGAAGGCCAGGGACTTCAAAGGGTCAACTATCTGACTCTTAATGCCTCTAAGAATGAGGACAAGGATTAGAAAGGAAGACCATGAGTCAGGTACTGATCATAAATTTAGATATCCTTAGTGGATATCTAACCCATCGTTTTACAGACAAGGAAAACTGGGGCCTGCAGAAGTTAAGCCATTTGTCCAAAATCACAAAGAAAGTGAATGGCAAACTCAGAATTTGAACTTGGCCTTCTGACTGAAGGGGCAGATAGCTGGGACAGTGGGTAGAGTGCCAGGCTTAGAGTCAGAAAGACCTGAGTTCAAATGTGACCTCAGACACTGTGTGACAGTAGGTAAGTCACTTAACCCCAGTTTACCTCAGTTACCTCACCTGCAAAATGACCTTATGAAGGAAAAGTCAAACTATTCCAGTATCCTTGCCAAGAAAACTCCAAATGGGATCATAAAGAGTTGGACACAACTGAAGGACAACAAAACTTTTGAATAATCCAGTCCTCTTACCCCTATGCCAAGCTAGTATTTGAAAATTTTTTGAAACAATTTGGAAATAAAAAGGCCTGTCTCCTTTAGAAAACCACTAGGTGTTATACAGTAGAGAGAAAGTCATTCTTTAATTTAATTTAATTCAATTAAAAACATTTATGGAGCATTTATTCTGTAGATACTGCCTTAAGCATGGAGGAAGCATTAAGAGAGAAAGAATAAAGATTAATAAGATGTGAAGCCTGGAAGTGAGGGAAGGGGTTATCTCTATCTTTCTCTCTCCATCTCTGGGTCAGTGTCTTTCTGTCTCTATCTTTGTGTCTGTCTCTCTATCTCTTCCCCCCACCCTTCTTTTAATCCCATCCATCTCTTCTCAACCCTTCCCACTCAGCCCCACTCACTGATACATAAAAATGCAAGGAAAGATAAAAGGAAAAAAAATAAGGGGAGGCTAAGACAGAATGAAGGCGTACATGAAAAGTAAGAAAGGGTCAAGGCAAGTGAGCCAGAAGCCAAGTAAACAGACAAGAATCAGAAAGATACAGCTACCACTGAGCACAGCAAATAAACTTTCCCCAAGTGCACACAGAACCTAAGAACTGGGCCTTCTATAACCCATTTCCTTAGCTCCATTCGCGCATATTATTCATCTCCATATGTTAAAGCACTTAAGATCATAGATCTAGAGCTGGAAGAAACTGCTCATTCCTCATACTTTACAGATAAAGAAGTCAAGGCACAAGGAGGTTAATTGATATGCTCAGTGCCACACAGGTTACATCTTATCTCTGTAGGAAGGGAAAAAACCCCCCAAGAATTCCTTAAGCACCTACTATGTACAAAGCAATTATAATATTATCTGCTTTGATCCTCACAACTTCTATGTGAAGTCTGTGCTATACCCATTTTACAATGAGAAAACTGAGGTTGAGTGACTTACCTGGGGTAACACATCTAGTAAAAGTCTGAGTCTAGAGTTTAACTGAGATCTTTTTGACTCCCAGCCCAATACTCTATATACTGCACTAACTGCCTACCTGTGGATAAATACTCCATCCATTCCCTGCTCTACCACTAACTCTTATATTTGAAAAGCTGGCTAACTTCTTTGGCCCTCATTTTTGTCATTTGTAAAATGAAAAGGGAGTACTAGATCAGAGGATCTTGACTTGAGGTCCATATCTCTACCAGATGAGCCACTCTGCTGTCCCTCAGGATTCATGACTTTCTTGAATCCACAGATGTAGCTTCTTTCCACCACAAAAGATCCTGCTCCCTATCATTGAAACCATCCTCAGGTAACTGTCTTTCCACATCCACTGCAGGTACTTCTGCTGCCATTGGCCACAAAAGTTTCTGGTGGACATTGCCACTGTTGCCACCTAGATCTTACCATTGATAGAACCCTTGATAAGATCCCAAACTCATCAGGTTGCTTCCTGAACATGCCCATCACTAGGTTTCTGCTTGGCCACCTGCCCAGGGAAACAAACACAAAAAGACAGGCATGGTCATGTGCTCAAAATCACCATTGGCTAAGTGACAGACAGGACAGTGTCTCTTCCCTAACTTGGCTATGGGGAGGAAGCTCAAGGGAGTCCTGCATCCTTACAACCAAAAGGATAAAAAGTAACAAAGGGATAGTAATTCATTTTCGTACCCACTCTGTTCTAGCCCCAAGACTTCTGAGCCATCAGTTCTCCTGGCTCCATTGAAAATTAATTCGAAGACCTTCATCTTTACACAGGACCACCCCATAAGTCATGAATGGCCAGAAAGAAGCTTTTGAAGTTCTATTTGATGGGTTAGAACTAGTTAGGGACTATCTGCTTACATACTTTATAACCCACCAGGCAAAGCAAATTTGAGGATACTCCCATTATTACTCTTACGTTTCAGGGATGTCCTGATTCTGGCTTGCTTATAGAATTCTGAACTTGTGAACTGCCATCTATAACAATCTTCTATTTGTTTCCCCAATCAGAATAATAGATTTATAGTTGAAAAAGACCTCATAACTCTCCTAATCTAACACCTCCCTGGCCAATATACAGATGAGGTTTAATGAGTTGCCAAATGTAGCAATGGTAGGGCTGGGATTTGAACTGACTGCAGATTCAGTTCCCTTTCTACCACCTGAATTCTTACCCAGGCTGTCCGACTTGATCTCACCCAAGTTATACCATAACAGGAAGCTAAGAATGAGTTTGTAAGAAGCTAAAGATAAGCTCATGAAAAACTGGGACTGTGCATAAAGAAGGAACAAATAAAAATGTTAAACACTGTCCAATTAAATTGAATAAATATTGATTAGGTAGTATTATATTTAAGTCATTGTACTAAGAGTTGGAGCAACAAGGACTAAAAATTAAATAGCCTCTCCCCTTGAGGAGCTTACATGCTACTTGAAGAATACCATATATATAGAGGTGAGTAATAAACAAAGTTTATATGAAATTACTTTAAGAGGAAGAAAAAACTAACAGTAGGGTAGGGGAAATCAGGAAAAGTTTAGTGTAAAAGGTCATACTTGAACTATGATGTGAAGGAAGCTAGGGACTTTAAGAGGCTGAGGAGAAGGGTGAATGTATTCTAGACATGGGGGGAGGGAGCATGCAAAAGCCTGGAGGCAGGAAATGCGATGCCATATAGGGAGTAGAAACACTATCAACAGTTACGGTCAAGAGAAGAATGGTATCTAAGTTTGTTTGCTTTTTACCCTTACTTTAAGGTACTTGTCAGGTAAGATAGAAACTAAGAGTGCATGTTTTGTTTCTTCAAATAAAAATTATTTAAATATAATTTACCATAAGCAGTCATTTCCGTTCACTTGAGGGCACATTTTAGAGAATGCAGGCATAGTGCTAGTGGGGAAGTCAATTAACTCACCTCCTTAAGTCTGGCTTCCACATATAGTTCAATCATTGACAAGGTTTTCACAAACTTATTTCTATGTCTCTATTGTATCGTGAACTCCTTGAGAGCAAGGACTATTTTTGTCTTTCTTTGTAACCCTAGCACTTAGCATGGTGCCTGGCACCTAGCAGGTACTTAAGAAAACTTTGTTTAAAAAAAAGTTGTTCCCTGGGAATATAGTAATAATTTCAATTATTTACTATTGTTCTTTACAAAGCCTATTTATTTCAAGCACATCATAGGCACTACAATTTTCAGCTAATCCTCTGGCAAAAATATAAAGTGTCAATGGGGGGGGTTGTTTGTTTGTTTTTGGGTTCTAACCTACCATAATTATCTTATTAGAGGGACACACTTAAGAACACATTCTGATTTAGCTATTTAGCTTCAGGACATATTTCATACCAAATGAAATCTGGTTTTAGAATCAGTACTCAAAATACTTAAATCTCAATTTGTCTAAGGGTCACTTGACGTTACAGCTTCAAAAAGAGAAACCATTACTATCAGCAAACTTATTTTAAAAGACATGTGGCAGTAATCTCAACTCTCTCTAACTTTTTTTTCTAAGTCCTTTCAAACCACCCAGACCAGGGTCTTGTTCCTATTCTCTCTTAAGTTCCCTGAGGTTGAGAGATAGGGTGGGGGCCAGGGCCTAGGGCAGCCTGGAATTCCCTTCACTGTTTTCTTTCCCCGGTTTATTTTAAGGAAACATCAAAGTTTAAAGTTTTTTTTAAACTTATTTATCTCATTTGTTTATCTAAAAAAAGTTGTTGCCCCTGTACCAGCTTTTCTGAATACTAAATTCCCCTATGATTAAAAGTGATCACAATTCAGTTTCATGAATAGACTTCAAAAATTCCTCAGGGAAGTCCACAAAAAGTCTGTGCTATTGCTTAAATTTGTGTTGAATCCACTCATACTCACTGATGGCTGCTTCTTTTTCTTTCTGTTTCTCCTGCTTTTTCCCCAACTCTCTCCTGCTCCCACCCACATTCAACTTTCTTTCCCATCTGCCCATAATATGACAATGTGGAAGGGATGCTGACATAAACCTCTACCTATAGCCAGAACCTCTCAGTCACCCACATTCCCAGGTTCCCATGGGAACCACCCACAAGGAGTTAAGGTCAGGGAAATTGCCCTTTGTCTGATTCCTAATTTATATTAGGCTTAGCTTTGTCTGTCATAGGCCCAGATGGTGGGTCAGTGATTATTGTCATAGCTATGTTAAGTAGAAGAGAGGAGAAAGGGACTTCCTCCAAATCCTTGGCCTCTTTTAATATTTGTGAACTTCCTTTTTCTTTTGAAATATCCTTTTTTGTTTTTATTTTGAGCCAGTGATTTTCTTGCCTCTGAGCTGATGGCATGCCAGAATTGATTTGTCTCTCATTTCTTTTGAACACCAAGCAGTCATCGATGATTACAATTATTATGTCCTGTTTGGAAAAGTTTAGAAACCAAGCATTGATTCTATCAAGAGGACAATTTTAAATGCAGAAAACTCCTATAGTAGAATGAAGTAAAATGTATTTACTTTAGTACTAGAAGGGCCTGTGATTTCATTGGTGTGGGCATTCCCTTCTCACTGATGCAAAACCTGACCCCTCTTTGCTTTAGAAGACTCATTTTGAGTCACTATGGATGTAAAAACTTATGAACTGATGTTTAATAGGATACTTACACACACATAAAAACCATACACTGAGAAAGGACCCAAGTCCAAATCTCAGCTCTGTCACTCACTATCTTGTGACATTTCATAAGTTCTCAATTTTCTTATCTGTAAAAATAATGAAGGTTTAATTAGATGTCCATTCAGGTAAATTTCAGCTTTAAATTTCTATGATCTTATGATCCAGTGCAGTACAATTGAGAGAGGATCCACTCAGGAGACAGAGAACCTGACTTCAAATCCTGTCCCTGATGTTTATGGCCCCAAGCAAGTCAATGTAACCTCTGAGGGCTCAGTTTCCTCACTGCTGCTAGGAAATCCTTTTAACATCTCCCTGATTAACTCAATATTTTACTCACCTCAGTGGTTTTTCCAAACCTTTCCATCCCTTCTCAGACTGGATGTGGTTCCCTCTCCTTTATCCACGGATTCTCAGCTACAAAGTTTCCCTCATTTTACTGAAAAAATTGAGGCCATTCATCAGAGTTCCCCATTCTTAAGTCCTTCTCATTTTATGGTACCTGATTGTCATCTTTTGCCACTATCTCCTCCTTCATCTATTTAATATTAAGAAGTGGCCCTTTTCTTGACCAAGGCAAACCACACTTCATGTACAAGTGATCTCATTCTTTCTGTTCTTCCACTCTAGCATCCCTACTTTCTCACTTATTTTCAGTCTCTCCCTGTCTTTTGACTTTCCCTTCTGCCTTCAAATATGCTTATCTTTCCCCTATCCTCAAAAAACCTTCACTTGATCAATCTATTGCCGTCAGCCATCAAAATTATTGTCCCGTGTCTCTCCTGTCTTTCGTGGCTAAGAGAATGTGTCTCCACTTCCTTCCCTATCACTCTTTTCTTATCTCTATAGCATGGCTTCCAACCTCATCATTCAATGGAAACTGGTCTTTTAGTTGCCAATTCATCTTTTCTCAATTCTCATCCCTCATGACTTCTCTGTAGTCTGTAACAGACAAGATCCCCTCTTCTCCTAGAGGTTCTCTTCTCTCTAGGCTTTTAGGGCACTACCATTTCCTCACTCTCCTCCTATCTCTCTAACTACTCCATCTCAAGATCTTTTGCTGCATCTTCCTCTAGGCCATGACTAGTAACAATGGGTGTCCTAGAGGACTCTGTCCTGGGCCTTGTTCTTTCTCTACGTTATTTCATCTGGTGAGCAAAGTGACACAATTGTAGAGAGATGGGCCTAGAGTCAGGAAGATCTAAGTTCAAATTTAGCTTCAGACACTGACTAGCTTGGTCAAGTCACATCACCCGTTTGTCTCAGTTTCCTCATGGGTAAAAAAAGATGAGATAATAGTTCCTTCCTGCTAAGGTTGTTATGAGAATCAAGTGGGATATCTGTAAATTGTGTGGCACAGTACCTAGTACTTAGTACGCACTATGTGAATGCTAGCAATCATTAACTTCATCATTATCAATTCCCATGGAGTCTATTATCATCTCTTTGGTGAGGATTCTCAGACTGATTTATTTACTTCTCTATAGACCTCCAATCTCCTATCTCCTATTGCCTGCAGAATATCTCAAGCTGTATGTTCTGTAGACATTTAAACTCAACATATTCAAAAGTTATCTCTTTATCTTGACCCTACTTCCCAGCCCTCTCTCTTCTTAACCTTAATACCAAGGTACCACATCCAGGCTATCATCTCCTCCTTGATTCTTTACTCTCTGTCGCCCCCTTATTTAATCTGTTGCTGAGGCCTATTGATTTTACTTCTGGAATACCTCTTTAATACATCTTCTCTCCTCTGACATTGCCACCAACCTAGTTCAGGCCCTATCATCTTACACCTGGATTTTTACTACAAGCTGTTGGTTGGTCTCTCCCCCACTTCAGTCTATACTCCATTAAACTATCAAAGTGATCTTCCTAAAGTGCTGGCCTGACTGTCACCCCCTACTCAGTGTAGGCTCCTATCATGTCAAGGAACAAATACAAAACCTTCTGGCTCTCAAAGCCCCTCATAAACTTACACTGTACCTTTCTAGTCATATACCTTTCTATCCTTCCTCCCCTTCCCATTGTAATTCAGTTCACTTTTCCTTTATGAATTTAGGTGTCCCATTTGCTGTGTATTTCATTAGTATTGATATTCATTGTCTATAATTTAAGCATAAAATAAATAATATTCCCTTGTTTATATTTCTTGACATTGCACAATTATTTTTTAATTTATTGAAGAGGATGAGTGCAACTTCTCTTTTTAAAAATTATTTGATATATAGTAAATTTTGTTACAGAAACTAGTTTTATTTTTTAGGTTTTTTACATGTATTTTGATTTATTTCATTAAATAGTTCCCAATTACATGTAAATAATTTAACATTTTTAAAAATTGAGTTCTAAATTCTCTCCATTCCACACCTCCCCCACTCCTTGAGTGATATTAATTATGCATGTGAAATCATACAAGCATATTTCCATATTAACTATGTTGTAAAATAAAACACATTAAAATACAAGAAAAATAAAGGAAGTAATAAAAGATATGCTTCAATTTGCCCTCAGAGTTCTTCAGTTCTCTCTCTGGAGATAGATGGGATTTTTTTTTTATCATGAGTAGTTTGAAGCTATCTTGGATCATTTTCTTGATTAGAGTAACTAAGTCTTCCACAGTTGATCATTGTTATAATATTGCTGTTATTATATACAATGTTCTCCTGGTTCTGCTCACTTCACTTTGCATCAGTTCATATACATCATATCAGATTTTTCTGAAACCATCCTTGCTCATCATTTCTTATAGCACAATAGTATTTCATCACAATCACATACCATAACTTGTTCATCCATTTACCCAATTGATGGACAGCCTATCGATTTTCAATTTTTTGTCTCCACAAAAATAGCTGCTATAAATATTTTTCAACAAATAGAGCCTTTCCCTTTTAGTTTTATAGCACTTTGGCCATAGCTGAAAAGTAATGGAGGGCAAGCAAAGTAAATTGCTCTCCAGAATGGCTAGACTTGTTCATTTTTACAAATTTGGTTCAGTTCTCCATATATTTGAGAAATTAGATTATCAGAGAAACTTGCTGTAAAAATTCCCCCCCCCGTTTCCTTTTTTCCTTCTAGTTTTGGCTACATTAGTTTTGTTTGTATGAAAACTTCTAATTCCATGTAATCAAAAGTATCCATTTTGCTTCTCATGATCCTCTCTATTTCTCCTTGTCTGGTCAAGATTTCTTCTCTTATCCATAGATCTGACATGTATGCTTTTTCTGTGGACCCCTAGTTTACTTATGATATGACCCTTTATTTCTAAATCATTCATCCATCTCAACATTATCTTGGTATATGGTAGTAGTTGTTGGTCTATGACTATTTTTTTCCAAACTGCTTTCTAGTTTTCTCAGAAAATTTTGTCAAATGGTGAGTTCTTACCCCAAAAGCTTAGGTCTTTGGGTTGATCAAACACAAGTTGATCAAACTTACTATGGTCATATATAACTGTGTATTGTAGACCTAATCTATTCCACTGATCCACCACTCTTACTTAGCTAGTCAGATTGTTTTGATGATTACTGGTGTTTTTTTTTAAATATAGATTGAAATCTGGAACTGCTAGGCCACCTTCTTTCACATTTTTTTTTATTAATTACCTTGATAGTCTTCACTTTTTGTTTTTCCAGAAGGATTTTGTTGTTATTTTTTCTAGCTCTATAAAATTTTTTTTAGTGTTTTGTTTGGTATGGCACTGAACAAGTAAATTAGGTAGAATTGTTGTTTTCATTATATTGGCACAGCCTACATGAGCAATTAATCTTTTTTCCAGTTGTTCAGATCTGGCATTCTTTGTGTAAAGTTTTTGTAATTATGTTCATATAGTCCCTGAATTTGTCTTAGCAAGTAAATTTTTTAATATTTTATATTTCCTGTAGCTATTTTAAATGGATTGTCTCATTCTATCTCTTTCTTCTGGGTTTTGTTGATATCATATAGAAATATAAAAATATATATATGTATATAATGTAGAAATTATATATTATAGAAATATATATTATGTAGAAATGCTGATGATTTATGTGGGTTTATTTTATACCCTGAAACTTTGCTAGAATTGTTCATTACTTCAACTAGTTTTTTTTTTTCAGCTGATTCTCTATGGGTCTCTAAGTATATCATCATATCTTTTGCAGAGTGATAATTTTGTTTTCTTATCGCCTATTTTTATTTTTAAAATTTATTTTTCTTTTCTTATTGCTGTCACTAATATTTCTACTACACTATTGAATAATATTCATGATAATGAACATCCTTGCTTCACCCTTCATCTTATTTGGAGGGCTTTAAGTTTATCCCCATTACAGATAATGGTT